CCAGTGTGCATTTGATGAAGTAGTTCCTAGTTTGATGGCAAATGTTAGTGTGTTGAATGCTGTTTGCTGTTATAACCACTCTGTTGTTGTAAATTTAAACCATTACTTGGTTATAAAACTAAAATGCTGAGATGTCAATGAGTGATGACTAACGTATCTGTCTGGCTTTCATAGTTGTAATTTATCTGAAATAATGACATCGTTGGGATTTGAAAGTTTACGCAGAACATCCTAGATTTTAATCCCCTGCCTTACAGCTTTGATTTCCCTATTGTGTCATGACGTGGGGTGTCAAGGAAATGAAGATGTTCTAAAATTTCTCTACTAAATGTAACTGTAGTTGTTAGTTTTCAATCTGTGTAAAATATGGCTGTAACATTTAAGAGTAAAGAAATAAATCACTTGCGTCTGAATTCTGATCACATTAAAGGCAAAATGGTTTTGTACTTTTAGTCTGTGATTACTATCAGTCATAACTCTGTACCAAATTATATGAAAATTATATGAATTAATTTTGTTAAAAATTTAACGTTGCCAAGCCAAGATATTTTTTTTTTTAGCAATAAAAAATGTTAAACTTGAATTGCAAAACCAGAACAGTTAACAGCAACACATTTGCAAAATAATAATTTTCTGAAATTTCCAAAGCAATATTTTAGTACGAGTCCAAAAAAGTAAATTGTGTTGTTTGCACTTAACTTAGAAGGTGTAATTCAGAAATTTGTTTTGAATTGTGAGACTTTATTTTTTTTATTCAGCTAGCTTTGATAACAGTCAATTCCACTCATAAAAATTGCACCAAAAAAGTTTAGGGAAGGCAATAAATTTAGAGTTATCGGAACCAAACATAATTTTTATTCGGCATAAATTGTAATACATGTAGTTGTACTAATTTACGTCCCTCTGCATGCAGACTGTTTATCTCGTATTGTCTTTGTCTCAAAGTGAAAACGATCTTTTCCTTATATCTGTATTTCAGGGAAGATAACATTATTCAATACTTTTCACTGTATTTATCACAGACAGCTTACAGATGGTTACGATGAAATTGAATTTTTCATCCACTGTGATTTGAGCTGTCATTCACATGTTTGGAGGGAATATTGATTTGGTTTAATTTTGCATTGAATAAGGACATTTGCTGTTGGCATATTGATACATCTTTAATGGCAGATGGAAGGAATGGAGTGCTGAGATTACAGTTCAGCTTTTTATACAGTAGAATAACAGTTTCAAACATTAATACCTTAGGTAGTCTTAGGTAGTCTTCCAGACAAATTTCTACAAATATGAATAATATTTTCTTCACTAAAGGGTCTACAGGGAAAATATTTGGAAAAAACATGCGCAAAGTGTCATGGGTGATGAATAAATATGTTTATTGATATTTTGACTTATTTCCGGATCACCCCACAGATATATTTTTTTTATTTATAGCTCAGGTGTTATCTCTAATACTTGGTACACCTGACATTTATAAATTCATTATGTGTAACATTAGAAGTCTGAAATAAGTTGTGAAATATACGGCAATGAATTGAACCAATCACGGGACATGGCCAGAAATGTATACATGTAATTGCACACATGAATGTGAGCTACAAGTACAACTGTAAAATGGGAGCACTTGAGTTTGAAATAGAATATCAGTATAATGTAGGTAGCATAATGTACAACCCATTATTATGCATGTATATGGTATAATGCCATTATCTGCACTGATATTGTACAGACCATTATGTGGTATAATGCCATTATCTGCACTGATATTGTACAGACCATTATGTGGTATAATGCCATTATCTGCACTGATATTGTACAGACCATTATGTGGTATAATGCCATTATCTGCACTGATATTGTACAGAACATTATGTGGTATAATGCCATTATCTGCACTGATATTGTATAGACCATTATGTGGTATAATGCCATTATCTGCACTGACATTGTACAGACCATTATGAGGTATAATGCCATTACCTGCAGATAATGTACAGATAATGAGAAATTGTATTTGTTCAAATTTCTGTTAAAACTGACCATTTTAGGTTTTAATAGTCAAATTGAGATTATATCATTATCTATTTTATACAAAAATGGTGTGTTCATTATTATCAACGTAATAAACATTCTTTGTGGAATTTTTTTTCACTATAATAAGAAAAATACATTCTTACCAGTATATCAAAACTGATTTCAATGCAACATCATCCACAGATATGCAAATGAGTGAGATGATGTGACTGATATAACAAGCTTTTCTAATAAAAAAAAAATCTGTTATCCTATTAGGAATTGAACAGCTCAGCTTTTCATAGTTTGTAGGTGTGCTACAAATATTGAAAACACATGGAACATGCATAGAGTTATAATTTTCTGCAATTTGGAAATCTAATTGATTTATCGTCTAACTTTAAGTGAGATTTTTCTCCCACAAATTGCTTGGGAACCCAAATTAATGAAAATGAGATTGGAATTTGTAAGACACTATTTTGTTCATAGATATCTATTTTACATATTGCAGTGCCAATTTGTACGTTACACAAGTTTCATGGTTTCAGTGGCTCAATAAAGTTAATGCTTGTGTCTTTGGTTTACTGTGATTGATTAGTTAAACTCAAAGCCTTATTAATATTCATTTTTATTTGCATTAATTAACATCTCATTACTTAGGATATTGCTTATATTGTAAGTAGATTTGCAAAAAATGGTAGAATTGTAACTTTTTTTAGTTTTCCATCTTTTTATCAATAAAACATATCTAGAGTGTGAATTAAAGCATTTTGATATATTTTAATTGATAAATGAATTAAAACACATTGCCTTTTCTTTCTTGAAAATGTGCTTTAAATTCCGATTTGCACACTTACATTCTTTGCTAGCTCCAATGAATATATTAAAGTTAATTGATACGTAAGGAGGAGCAAGTGTATAAAATAATTAGCATATTTTATTGTATTTTCTATCTTTGCGCACATTCCCATGTGTAAGATTTAACAAGCTCCTGAGACAGAGTAATTATGACTTTATCTTTGCAAATTATGCAAATTTTGCACATAATTTGATTACAGATGAAGTGCATAATGAGGCCACGTGAGGAGACAAATTGATAATGGAGGTCTTCTTATGTGTCAGTAGGAGACGCGCCAAGATCAGATAAAATTTCGCGGCGCTATTCTAGTCTTGTCTGTGCCTTTTGAATGAAAACAAGTCATCATTATGTTCTCGGTGATTGGTGTATGGTGTGGAATTTAAATTACTAGACACCTTCACTAGAAAATAAACACTGTACACCTTTAGTGTTTTGCGTTACGATTATTGAATTCAATTTTCTGCAGATTTCATCTTATTTTTAAAATCACTGTGAGCTTGATTATAGGTTTCCTTCTTTATATTGATTTTTGAATAATGCAGCGAGCAAACAATGTTTGTGTCTGCATTAGATCATGAGGAATTTTGATGCTTAATACCACGTCACGATGAAGATGAAACCCTTTTGTAGATTCATTAAGCCTGTATCTTATTGGAGTTTATTTTTATGTCTTACAGATGAACAGACCCATTCAAGTCAAGCCCGCCGACAGTGAAAGCAGAGCAGGTAAGAATTTTTTATGTAGTTTTAAAAAAAATGTTGTCATCACGAGAAATGTTCAGTTTGCCAAATTAAAGGCAAAAATTTTCATGAGATTAAACTGCTGCAATTTAATCCCAGTGAAGTTTTCTGCAAGTCACATTAATTTTAAATCTGTGTGGCACTAACTAAATGAAGTGCTCATTCCTCCTTAATTTTATTTTTAAAAACTGCAATATATAGTAATAATGCTCTCAAGTAATATACTTATGTTGCCATAGTGACAAAACTGGATGAGCAGGATGTACTTATACTCATATACAATGTATTCAGTGCCTACCTGACCTCGAACTGCTACGTAAAATTGATTTGAAGTCTGTGAGTGACTTGTGTGCCCATTTTAGGTTGAATTTATAGCATTTTCCAACTTCTTGTCATTGGATGTCAAAAACAAAAAATTCTATCATGGTTGAAATTACTTTTTGAGGTGGTAGGTATGATTAACTTGAAAGATAGGTCCATCACTTTAATGGTGTAACCATTGGCAACCAAATTTGAGTCAAGTAAATTAAGATTGCTATCAGTGTTACCAACCAATGGGGAGAATGATATGATATTTCCTTTCTCAGAATCATGAACTGCATAGTCGTATTTAGTAAATACAAAATTTAGCTTCAAATCATCACAATTCGATAATTTAGAGGATTTTAAAATACATTAACATTTTTCACTACTGTGCATACTATTATATATTTTCTATGGGAGAGACCTTCCTATTGTATCATATATTTGACTTAAAGCTAATTTGAAATAAAGCGTTGTTTCGAAATTTATAAATTTTAATATGCAATTTGTTTTCCTGTGTCACTAAGCAAATTTCAACATTTGAAAAGAAAATTTCAGTGTAAAAACTGCAAAAAATTTCTCAAAAAATTGGCAGGTGATTCCAATTATTATTTTTTTGTTTGTTCCGGTAATTCTAACTGTATTAACTTTCCAAAAATAAAGAAAATGATAAAATCTTGACTCTAACCTTTACCTTTTCACTACCAGATTTTCTCACCCAGATTTTTCCTATATTTCTGGAAATGAACTCTAATTTGAGTTAATTTTTATTTTTGTCCAAATATTCTGATGGAAAGCAGGGACTGTAAAGTGGATTATTTTGTGAAGAAAAGTAGGAACTAGTGGTGAAAAAGTTAATTCTGACATGACAAAAAATTCATTTCGAATCGTAATTTAAATTTTCACTTTTCACGACAGAATTCGTGGAAATTTGTTGCTCACAAGAAGCCTTAATGAAGATTAGCCACTCTACCCTTAATGAAATGAATCAGTAAGAATATTTGAGGCCTTTACATTACATTTATCAACAAAGAAAAACTGAGACAAAACAACAATGCTTTCTCAAGATGAAAATAACCAATAGTTCTATTTTTAGTTTCATAGCACTCATTTGCATTTTGTGTTGTAATTCAGTATAAAAGTTATGCCAATCTAATATAGTAGAGTTAAAATTAAAATTGACATTATTATTATTTTTAATCATGAAATGTGATGCAGAATAAAATGATGACGTCATTGTCTCCTTAAAGTTATTGCTCATGGGTTTAACGTTTAAATCTGAATTTGGTCTGAATCTGACATCAAATGATGATGCCATGTACAGTTGCATGTTAGTTATTTTTCCTGACATGAGCATTTTTTTTTAGTTTTTTTTTAGGTTGATTTAATTTTGAATTGTGGAGAAGGATATTTTCATCACTATTTTTAATAGCAGTCCACTCAATAATTATTTTTAATTTGTGGGAAAACTAAATGTTTTTTTGATAATTACAAATTCACAAATAAATTTTATTTAGCTTATTTGCATTGAAAGTCTCAAGAAAATCCTATCCTAGGAGTAATACTAAGAAACATTAAACCAAAATAAACCATGTTACGCCAGTCATCAACAAATCCTAGCCAATTGCGAGCCCTGTGTTTTCATTAATTGAAATTGTCATTAAAATTAGTAAGAATACCAAAGTTGTGTGTTGCTTTTGTTTTCTCACTTTTGTCCCTCTCAAAAAAAATGCACAAGTAGTTGAGAATTAGATTTAATAATTACGTGTCTTGGTGATTTTTTAGAGTTTATGAATTCAATAAT